TTAAGTTACCTTGTAAAGTGCATGTTGAATTAGAGGGATAGCATGTCCTTTGTGTTAGATATTAGAGCAAAAAAAAGGCTTTATAGTGTTACTATCAGAGTGCTTTGAAAATCAATATTTTCAGGAAAGATACAGGATTTAAATTTTAGAAAAAGAAATGACACCAATCGGAAATTATCATAATGAGTTCTTCGTCTAGTAAGTGTTTAACTGTGTTATTTTGCCATTAATAATGTGTAAACTATGAGTAATTTACAATAAATGATTATGAATTCACTGGTGTTCTCGTCCTGATATTAAATGTCATTTCGAGAATGTTCTAGAGTGCTTGATGCTTCATGATGACTCATCTTTGACTTGGGCTCTGCTCAACAGCCCCCGAGGCCAGGCCTCTCCCATCCCCTCCGCCTGGGGCACAAGTCTTGCGTAGAACACCCAACCTCCAGTGGTGTCATTCCCACTTCTCACTCCCAACACCATCGCTCACCAACCATCACTTACTCTGCTTCTACTGACAAATGGGAGCCTCTGCTCTTACGTGTCACCAAAAAGAGCATCTTTCTCCCCAAGTTCCACCATTAGTGACCAGAGGTGGGCGAGATGGATTCATATTTTCACCCAGTCCTGAGTCTCCAAGACTTCATCTTTTGTCCCAAAGTAGCTGTGTTCCTGCCATCAGACAGGGACTTCCTAGTCTGCAGTCAAGGGTGGAAGGCAGCTTCTAGGCCCAGTTTTGCTATTTACTGCCCCAATGGCCCCAGCCTCTCAGAGCTTCAGTTTCACATGACTGGATTGGATTGTCTTGTCCTCCTCTGCCATTTTTTGGAATCTTCTGTCATCATTTAAAGAAGCCCCAGTCCCTGACAGTAACTGAGTGTGTCAGTCTCTTTTTGTCTCTGTGACAAAATACTGAGACAGGCAATTTAAGGAGGAATGGTTTATTTATGTATTTATTTATTTTGGTGGTACTGGGGTTTGAACTGAGGGCCTTGTACTTGCAAGTCAAATGCTCTACCACTTGAGCCATGCCCACAGTCCTTTTTGTTTTTGTTTTTTTCACATAGGGTCTCATGTTTTTCCTGGTCAGCCTCGTACTGTTGATCTTCCTATCTCTACCTCCCAAGTGGGCAGAGTACAACTGCGAGCTACCACACATATCCAGAAAGGTTTTTTTGGCTCACATTTTTGGAGATTTTAGTCCATGGTCATTTGGCCCCATTGCTTTTGGGCCCATGTGGAATGACGCAGAACATCATGATGGAGAACATGTGGTAGAGAAAAGTGGCTTACCTGGTGGTAAACAGTGAGACAGGAAGGGGCCAGGGACCAGATACCCTTCAAAGGCCACACCTCCTAATTTCTACCACCTCTATTAATGGCATCAAATTATGACTCCTTCAGTGGATTAATGCATTGATGAGGTTGGAGCCCTCATGATCTAGTCACTTCCCCAAAGCCCATCAACTGGCAACCAAGCCCTTAGCACGTGTGCCCGTGGGGAGCTCTTCCTATCCAACTTGCAACAATGTGCCTCACTAGTGTGGTCTTCCCCTCTGAACCTCAGGCCTCCTCCCCGTGCCTCACGTCTCCACCACAGGACAAGTTTGGCTTGCCATGGAGCTTCTGCTTCTGCTGGTTTTTTTCTCTCCTCATCAGCTGGGATAGATTTGTGAAGGGAAGAGGTTGAAGCCCCTGGATAAGCATGAGCTTTGGTTATCTGTGGGGTTTATTTCTCTAATTCAGTTCTGTCCCCAGTTACAAAGGAGAATGAAAGCCAGCAGTGTTCTCAGTGCTGCTCATGTGGAAAACAAGGAAGGAAAAAAATACCCTAACCTTTATAGTTTTTTTTTTTTTTTCCAGTTTCCCCATATTTAGCTCAGGGTGTTAGTCAAATCCTTTCCTTCCCCTTCCTCTACGTCAGGGAAGTGCTATAAAAGCACTGGAAACTCCTCTCTGTGCCGTCTCTGTCATTCCCCTGTGGACTTCATAGAGTCTATAGCTCCCTCCACCCCCACCTTCTGTAATGTTCTTGACTTCTAAATTTGCAACATCAGAAGCAAAGGAAGGAAAGCCCTGTTCTCAGGATACCTGTCTCCATAGCCTGATGGTTTAAGCAGCTGCTGCAGCTCTGTCAGTCTTTTTCCCTTCCTCTCACTCTCCTTGATGTCACCAGCTACATCCTGCCTTTGAGTACTCCCAGGATTCCCTAGGAAAGCCCTCAGCAACCTGGGCCAACCCCTCCTTGCAGCACCCAACTACAGTTTACCCTGGACCACCTTTTACATCCCTCACAACTCAGGATCTGCTACCTTGATGTGCCCTACCTTCTGTTTTCACTCCTTGTGGAGGAGACAGCATGAAAATATTGTCCTTGAGAGAAATTTCAGAAGTTGCTTTTTTGCCAGAAGTGCTAACTGCTGGGCAGAGCCAGCACCCCCTGTGCTGTTCATGGATGCCCTCACCCAGTGGGGTGTGGTTAGATTTTTACTGGCAGACTTTA